AATTTAAAATGTTGGTTATTGAAGAAAGAGAAAAAGCAGAGGACCCTGAGAAAAACCCTCAGGGCAAGGATGAGAACTAACAGCAAACTCAAGCACATGTGACACCAGGTCTGGGAATCAAACCCAGGTCATAATGGTGGGAGGAGAGGGTTCTCACCCCTGCGCATCCCTGCTTCAAGAGAGTAAAGACAAGGACATAATTTTTCCTTGCATTTTCAAAACACTCTCAAGTAAGCAGGGGATGGAAGTACATGTAAAGAAAGGTATCAGCCATGTGGAATGTTTCTCTTTACTAAAAAAATTCTCAGAAATAACATCAAAAGATATGTATGTTTAATAGTAAGGTCAAACAAAGTACCTGCAATCTCTGCGAGGGGCATTTTTCCAAGCATCCACAAGTTTCCCAATATTTCCTACTTCATCGGTTACATTAAACCCTTGTAAACAGTTCTTTTTGAGCCATTGCTGTTGTTAAGAACAAATTAGACCAAGAAAAATGTAGCTGTTGCCAAGTTGAAATTGCAAGTGATTCTGAATTTGAGCGCTATTTCAACAAGCAGAGATTTTACGCTCATTGAATTCAATAAATAACAAAACTTTAACTATGCTAGTTAACTACTTGAAATTATACTACCCTAAATCTTGCTCATGAACTTAAAGAGCTAGTTTACAATTCAGTTACTAGAAACGTCTTTAACAATCAGGATGTAAACTAAACAGTATCAAAAACGACAGTGCGAGATTTTAAAGCGGAGCAACTTCAGAATACCCCGCAACTCATTTACATGTCATTGAATAAGAATAGCGTCTATTGTGTTATGCCTCGATTTTCAAAGCCTCCCGACACATGTAAGTGAGGCGGACCAAAGTTGCGGGGTATTCTGAAGTTTAGCCACATTAACCAAGTAATACTTACCGAGTCAAATTTCACAGAATTGTCGTACGGTTCAATAGCAGAAATTTCTGCTGAGAGATTTTCACTACCAATTCCTCCAAGCACAGTGAGATTTTCAAGCTCTCTATTCGCCCCGAAATAGTACAAAATTAACACAACCAAGATTATCAATATCAAACCAATGTACAAAAGGTATTTTTGTCTTCTGTGCCCAACCATATGGCTCGTGTGAATAGGAGAATAGCTTATCTTCATCGTATCGACATAATTTCCATTGCTAATCCATATTGGCTTCTGGACGGGGGCGACTAGAACTGAGTTTAGAAACCGCTGATAAATATTACCGAAGATCTCTCATCGAGGTTGAATTTTCACGATCTTTTCACGTATGGCTGATCCACCGTCAACTTTAACTTCTGCTACAGAGCTTGCAACAAGCACTGTTGAAGATACTGCAATTAAAGACAGTTCTTTAAGAGCCGAAAACGTTGTTCAAGGTACAGTAGGCGTTTCATTCGAAGAGTAATCTCATTGGTAACTTTCAGCTCACCTGATTTACATCATGACATGTCACAACATGTATTCTTCACCCAATTAGATTATTTTTTCCAGCTGAGTAAGCATTTCAAGTGTTCAAAAGAAGTGAATAGCAAATAAGTGTATTTTGTTGTTATGGTACTATTGGCATGTGAAATAGCTCATCGG